ATGGAAGCTGACAGTGATAATGAAGAACCAATGATTTGCGCCATTTGCAATGATAGAGCTACGGGCTTGCATTATGGCATCATCACATGTGAAGGGTAAGTTTTGAAAGGGTTAAATTTGTAATGTTAACAATTTGAATATTCATGTGACAATTATAGATTTGAAACATAATTCTGGTAGGATTCACCAAACACAAAGGAATCCCCACTTCTCAAAGGAAGAATTATAATTGTTTACATCATTATATAGCAACAATCCTAAGTAGCTTATGAAGGTTTGACTAATTCAGCTTTAGCACTGAAAACGTTTATTTTAGCATAGTGGATAGTTACAAACGTGAGGAGAGATGGGATATGCTTATTTTATTACCACATACATTATTTACTGTGAGACTAATATCCTCATATTTGCTGTTATTGCCACAATATTTCTACCATTGTGCCCTCCAGCCATTTTTAAATTTCTGAAGGATAGCCTAGGGGATTAAAGTGTTGGTTTGGGAATTTGGTGGCATAGTAATTGTGAGTTCAATCCCTGGACTGGGTAGTACAAACTCAGATAGTGGAAACTTGACTAATGATAACTGAGCAGTACTAAAATCGAACAAGACAAGATATTGTTATATATAGATGTCAGAATGAGAACAATCTACTTCATTAATTAAATGATAGGTTCAGATTAAAATACCTCAGGTACTGAACTCACAAATCTATGCTACAAAATGCATGAAATAATGTTATTGTCCTTATAGGATCTACAGACACTTGAAGAAGAGGGTACAATGGCTGAAATATTGAGATAATAACAACAGAAATGAGGAATTTAGTTCAACTGTAAATAATGTAAGCAAAGAAAGATATATTGCTCCTTCACTTACTAGCTTTGTTATCACATTCAGTACCCAAAAAAATTACATAATGTCCCTCTTTTGAAATTTGCACCTTGTCTTCATTTTGTCCTCTGCACACTGATGTGACTTATAATTGTTTTCGAGTCATACTGTTTAATCTCTGTGAAACCCCCACTGGACACACACCAGTACAAAAACAAAAAAAAAGCATTGGAACTGGAGGTGGATGTGCAGGTGGTGTAATGGATAGCAGCTCGGATGGAGAAATCGGAGAGCTGAGTTCAAATTCCAGTTGGTTTCATTTCATCCAATAACACACAAATTCTCTTGGGAAAGGTATGAACCCATCTCCCAGCTATGGATTAAATAGTAGGACTTGTACTGGAAAAAATCATTATTTGCAAAAAGAAAATGTTAATGCAATATTCACTCACAAAAAATACAATTATTCTTACAATCCGAAATTTCAGATTTAAATAACCCATAAAATATTGATAAGCCGTAAAAAATCAATAAATCAATCAGTTGGTACTGAAAGTGTTAAAAGTTTGAGTTTACCTTTGTAAAGTTAAAGAAAAGTAACTTGTCATTGCCTGTGTTTATCAAGGGAAGTAACTCGTCATGTATGAAAACATTGCAAGCTCTCTTTTGATGTTCTGATGTGACACCAAGTGCAAAGCTTACTTTGTTATCTCTTAGGATAAAAGTACATATTGGGATCATCACATATTAATTCTTCTTAGATCAAAGTTCCTGATGGATATTAAATTCAATTCAGACTCCTGGTATTTCCTGTCATGAAACACACACAACACTTATTTTCAGCTTTATCACTATTTAAAGCTTGGATAAAATATGAATTACTGTAGAAAATTGTTTCTTCATAATAGAAGTCAAATCATACATGCCCATCATAATATGATCATTAAGCTTTATAAAATGTCATCATAGAAAATGTCAGTGTATGCATACTGTGTTCACCAAACCTTTAGTTAACCTCCATATTCTGTATAGCTTTCATTATACTCCAATTGCTGGACTAAAATGTTGTTTGAGAATTCGTTGGAGTAGGGCACATAAAATCACTATTTTACTAATGATGCATAAAAACATTGTTAAATAGAAGAAACTTTAATTTCTACCAATGTTTGATTGACTATAGCACTCAACTATTTTGTTTCTTCATTTCTTGCAGATGCAAAGGTTTCTTTAAGCGCACAGTGCAAAACAAACGGGTGTACACATGTGTTGCAAGTGGCAATTGTGAAATCAACAAGATGCAACGAAATCGCTGCCAATATTGTCGTTTCAAGAAATGTTTGCAGATGGGAATGGTCCTGGCAGGTGTGTTTGGCCTCTGAGCAGTTCATGTACACTCCACAAAACACAATACTTAACAATGTAACAAATTTATTTGCATATAAAAAAGTTTGCATTGTAGTTTGTCTATGTGTTTATAAACTTGTAAATATAAAATTATGCTTGTAGATAAACAATCTAATAAAATAAATAGTGTTCAAGTTTTTTGTTGTCTATTCTCAAGAAAAAAGAATACATCAATCCAGTTTTATATGTCTGAGTATTATTAAAATTCTAAAAATAGTTTTTTAAAACAATAAAAATTGCTAAGGAAGTATACATTAGTATCTATGTCAAGTGAAAGACTGTTTCACACCCCATTTTTTTTGCATTTACCTCTGTTAAACTTTGCCATTAATTTTTTTGTGGTCTATCATCATAAAATGCAAATATATATTAAAATATCCTCATCTTTCTGGCTTTAATTCATAGTTTTAAGTAATACTTTAAATCAGTTATGAAATTTCTTTTTTTCTCTATCTTTTCAGCTGTACGAGAAGATCGGATGCCTGGAGGACGAAATTCTGGGGCAGTTTATAATCTCTATAAGGTAAAATTTTCATTCTTTTCATGGAATTCTGTAGAAAAATACTTTAAAAAAACAAAACAAACCAGCTGATTGCACATTTATTCAAAAACAATCCCATGCTTAGTTTGGAATATACTTAACCATTTTTCAATATCTTGAGATCCAGTTGCACAGATTTGGTGTAGCTTGATAACCAATCAAAGAGTCCTTACTACACATGTGTGAACAGACACTCTCCCATTGGGATATTTGGTCAGCAGTGAGCTGCTATTGAGTGTGCTTATTTACTATATGACTGTTTTATTTACAGTGTTGTATTTGTTTAAGGAAATTATTCAAATTGTTAGGAAAGCATACAGAGATGATTCAGTGAATGAAGTCTATATAATATTTTCATACCAACCAGACTTGGATGAGAATTCATTGAAAGTAAACCACCCTCTGTAAGGTTTTTTTCAAAAACAGAACTCCTGAAAAGTTTTGAATGTATGCAGGCTACAATAAAAAGAAATTGGCAATTCCAAGAGTTAGAAAAACTCAGAAGATCCCACAAGCTGTCTGCAAAGTATCCAACTATTTTGAAGATTTTTTTTTTCAAAGAACTAAGGCACAATTGCCCTAGAGAGACCATTTTTTATGTTGTTATTATATAGCTGGATATATTTGAATTAATTAAGCAGTTGTAGGCATTTGTTTATCTATAGAGATAAAGGTAGCACCCTGTTTGGTCAAAATTCAGTTCTTTGGTGATGAGATTGGAGTGACCTCCCCAGATCAAAGGCTTGCGCAATGGTATATGGAGGCTGTGTGCTGCCTAGAGCACATGACCCTCTCTTGGCTGTACTGACAAAATCCAAAGGAATACAGGGCATTTGAGACTGGTTTGGCTACAGCAGTTTCTGGAGGTTTATCAATGTTGAAGGCTAACTGACCTCAGGGCTACATTCCGGATTTTCTGTCTGGATTTACTTCTATACTCTTTTCTGTGTTTGAATATAGCAGCAAGGCCATGAAGGCCCAGGGTGATGAGCTCCATTTGCCCACATTTGAACTAAATATAATTAATAAACTTGATTTAAGTATCTAAGCCTTCAAAGTGTGAGTGAAACACAAGATGGCAAATTTTCCTGTTATGTAAAAACTTAATATGATAGGATTGACGATATGATTCTAATTTCTCTTGAATTCCTTTCAGGTTAAGTACAAAAAGCACAAAAGGAAGAAGCAGGTTGCCAAGCTGTACAAGCAAAAAGTGGCACAAATTAGCGTTGACCAGGATATGAATATCAAGACAGAACCTGTGGATATTAAGAGCCAAATGAAGATACCACTCGAATCCCCATCATCTGTTATGAGCCCACGACGAACAACCATTGTTGCCCAATACAATCCAGTTGCTGCATTTTCTCAACAGCAACCACCACTACAACATCAACAACAACAGCAACAACCACAACAACAACAGAGACTACCACTACCAGCACCAGTACCACCTCCCCCACAGCATCAGCAAGAGAACCAGCAGCAACATTGCCAAGAAGACATCAAAGGAAGCCAGTTTCAGTACCAAAATGACCACTCAAAATCCATAGGGTCACGGCCACAACCAGGAAAACCACCGCCTACACAGCCCCAGCCACCATCCACACAGTTGCTGTCACTGATGCCAGTTTCAACAATGCCCCAATTTGAGAAACTTATTAACGAACTCATCCAATGTGACTGTTTGCTGGACATTGCTGATGCTTGCAAATTGGATGAGCTTGTCAACGATGACATTGTGTCAAACACGCTGTACAAAATTGGTGACAACATTGTCAACAAACTAGTGAAATGGACGCGGCAGCTGCCATTCTACAGTGAGATCCCACTGCAAATCCATCAGCAAATCCTGACCGAGAAATGGCACGAGCTGCTCTTACTCATCACCACAGCACATCGGGCACTGGTCAATACTGGACGGACAACAATGTCTTTTGGGGAACTTTACCGGTGGAACATGTCAAAACTGGCTCAGTACTTGAACAAGAACTTTGAAAAATACTTCACCCTGGAAGAGTTGACCAATGAGATTGGAGAGATTGTCGAAAAAATTACACATGTGATGGCCGCTTTTATGAATATGAATTTGTCCAAGCAAGAATACGTCTGTTTACAAGTTGTGCTGCTGCTAAATCACAGTGAGTTTCAAATAAACATTTTGATTTTCTCTCAACCTTCTGTTAACTAATTATATGTGTGTAGCCATCTTTTAGCTGTAGG